ACTGCCCAGGCTGGCCAGCCTGCCCTTTTCCTGAGAGCCCCGAGGGCCTGCTCTTCCCTCAGGCTGCAGGAGGCGTGCAGACGTGGCCGGTCCGCCTTGCACACAGTTTATTGAGCTCTTCCCCTGTGCTGAGTGACCCACAGGCCTCTTTGCTTCTGCACCCTGTCTCTGAGGTAGGACTAATGACCCCACTTTACAGATGAAGAAACTGAGGCCAAGGCAGGTGGCTCACCGGCTCCAGTGCATGCTGGGACGGGGCTGAGCTAGTGCTGAAAACCAGGTCTGCCAGGCGCGGAGCTGGGTCTCCCCCAGACTGGACTGCCTTGAACTGAATGGAGAGGAATCGCGTTTTAGCAGGAAGCAGGTCTCAGCGTTAGGCTAACTGTTTGATGCGACTACAAATATTTATCTTCCTGCGATGACAGCTAAGATGTATCGAACTCTTACTATGTCAAGCAGCTTTGAGTAATCTGCATGTATCCACTAACTTAATCCTCACCGCAAATCTACAAGGGCTGGCCTCGCCCGCCAGCAAGCAGAGGAGCCACACTCAGCACGTGGAGATGCGGAGGCAGCGCCTGGCACCCCTCCCACCACCGGCCCAGGTCAGGCCTGCAGAGGAGCTCTCTCACAGGAGGGGAGCTGTATGAAGGAGAGGGCGCTGCTGAGCCAAAGAAAACATACTTCTGATCCTGGAGGTCCAGGCCTGGGTCCTTGAGGCTGGCAACCCTGAGCCAGCTAGACCCGGGACGTGGGCAGCACCGGCCCAGGCTGCGCAGGACGGCATCACGGCTTCACCCGCACAGCAGGACATGCTTTCTGCCCGTGTGGGTGCGGAAGTCCCTCTCAGAAGACACGTGGCGACAGTGTTAGTGAATCCCTGGCTCACAGTAGACAGGAAGTCAGGCCTCAGGGAGCCACGCCGCCAGGCTGCCCCGCTCACCTCCCAGTGAGGATTCCCTGGTGACAGGTGAGGAAGTGCCTGCGCAGGCACTGCCTGTGCTCCTGCCTCAGGCTGTGACAGATCCAGTGGCCTTGGGGGTGGGGGGTGGGGGAGGGAGTTGGGAAATGGCCAGCCTTGTGTGGCTGAGACAACAGTGTGGCTCCTGCATGGAGGGGATAATGCCAGGAGGTCAGAGCGTGTGTGCTGGCACTGACCGCAGTGTTCAAGGCCCAGAACGCTCACTTACCAGCTGTGTGACCTTGCAAGCCACGTGGTCTCTCTGTAAGGGGAAGAGGTGACGGGCCTCCCTCACAGTCGGTGCCTGGTCCACAGTGCTGTGTGTGCCAGTGACTGTGAGTGCAGAGTCACCTCGTCCCAACGAGCAGACAGGAGTCCAGAGGCGCGAGGGTAAATAGGATTTTAACTAGCCAGGCGGGCACACAGGTGCCTGCCCAGCTCAGGGCAGCTGGCTGTGACCTGGCTGTGTATCTGGGCCGAGGCTGCAGCCCCGGCCTCCCCCAGCCCAGGTGCTGCTCTGCCTGACTCACCAGGACGTCCTCTGGCTCTTTCCATTCTCTCTGCCTCCTCCATTCACAGAGCACAGGACGCTGGGCTGCGAGGGCCCGCCAGTCCCTCCCTAACAGGCTCCTCTGGCTGTCTGCATGCCACCCGCCTCCAGGGGCCCACCAGGCAGCCCACCCCAGCTGCACACACCCCTCCTGGCTCAGAATCCCCGCTCACATGGGGCGGTGGTGACAGCTGCTGCCTCCTCCAGCTCCCCAACCCAACCCCATGGGGACGCCCAGAACAAGGTGTTTCTTTTTTTAACACGTGTCGGTGATTCCCACATTGCGCACAGCTCTCTCACCCCACTGCGAGCCTTCAGTTCCCCCCAGTTACCGCTCGCATTCCCCCCCATCGTTCCTCGGGCACAGCTCCCAGCCTGTGTCCCCTCTCATCACACACCAGTGTCTTTGGCCCTCCTTTCTGAGGAGTTCTGAGCACAGAGTACTGAGTCAGACCCCACATCCCCCCAAGCAGACATCACATTTCCGGTGAGGCCCGCGGGAAGCTGCATCCCATCTGGGCTTCCACCCGAGCGAGTGGGCTGTCAATGGACACACCCTGGGGTTGCTATCCAGCCATTTGCATCCACTCTGTTCCTTGGGTGGCATTTCCACCACAGCAGGCGGAGAGACTCAGGGGAGCTCCCCACCCAAGGCATCTCTCTCTCTCTCTCTCTCTCTCTCTCATCAATGAAGATACATATCCTTGGGAGAGGGTTTTAAAAATGTAGTTTTGATAGAATGTCC